TTTAGTGGAAAAAAAGCTGACCTGAAAAGTCAGGAAGATCTAGGTTCAAGTCCCATCTCTAACACATGCTGTGTGATTCTGGACAAGTCACTAAACCTTTGTGTCTATAGACAACTCTCTAAAGACTATAAATTTCAGAAGGGTCACTGTTCTGCAGAGTTCGAAGGAGGCTCCTCCTGAGGGATTCCTTACACCAGTGAAGTCACAGGCGTATATCCTTCCCCCTCCAAAGAAAAAATCTTTCTGTAATGTTATATGGCTATCATGGAATAGCATAATCTCTCAAGTATTAAATTTGCAATAACTGAAAAGGCAATAGAGAAAAGGGCAGCTGGGTGGTGCAGTGGATAGAGCACTGCTGGGCTTGGAATCAGGAAGACTCATTTTCCTGAGTTCAAATCCATCCTCAGACAACTTCCTAGCTGTGTGACCCTGGGCAAGTCACTTTACCCTGTTTGGCTCAGTTTCCTCATCTGTAAATCGAGCTAGAGAAGGATATGACAAACCACTCCAGTATCTCTGCCAAGAAAACCCCAAATGGGGTCACAAACAAAACTGAAATGACACAACTACTGGATCAGAATGGCTGAGAAGTGATATGTCAAAACAAAATGTATCAAAAATGTTTTGCACTTTCCTTCTTTGCAGAGGTGGGAGACTGTAGACATGGAATACTCTGCCAGACTTGGTTGGTGTGTGGTTAGTTTTGCTTTTTTTGTCTGTTATTCTTTCTTCCAAGGGATGGCCCACTGGGAAAGGTAGGGGAGGCACATTTTCAAAAATGAAGGTGGTATAAAAACAAAAGATACTAAAACATTTTTAAAAATTAAACATATGACTATTATAATAATATTATATGCTCAGGTTTCAAATCTTAAGTGGCCGATTCAGGAACTTAGAGATCTTTTAGTTTAATTGTGTCATTTTCCAGAGAAAGAAACAAACAGAGGAAAAGTAACTTGCAAAAATAAAAGAGCAATAAACAGCAAATAGCAGAGTCAGGAATTGAGTCTAACTCTCCAGTCTCGGGTCTACTACACCATAATTAGATAATTTCTAAAGTCCCTTCCAGTCTTAAATCCATTATGCTATGATGATGCCTCTCATAAACCACCAATGGTCTATGTCTTGAACTAAATATGGAACAATAAATAGACTTGCATCATGGTCTGAAAGGCTCCCACCTATGGTGAAAACCTCTCTCTTCTCCTGAATTCTCAGAATTGTCCTTTAGGATCATCCCTATTATTTTAGATCCTGAACCTTACCTGCCAGGGGTGGTAAAGTCCTCCATCCCAACAGCAAAACTTCTCTGAGAACCTACGTAGAGAAAATTAGCAAGACCAACACAACAGAGGAAAGCAAGATGTCAGCCTGGTGAACTTGGCTCTAATAAGCAGTGATTCCAAGGACACAGAGGATACTCAGTTATAAAGCATTAAGACTGCAAAGAGACTCAGAGACCATTTCACCCATTTCTAAGAGAAGAAAAGAGGGGAATTCACCCAAGGTCAAACAGTGCCAAGAATTTCCAAGCTCTAGTCATATCCACAAGACTCCTACTCCAACTACTGATTATTATAATGAATTTGGTCAGTAAAGCCAAAGTTGTTGTAACGAGTTTACCACTGAATGTCTGAATTTTTCTTTAAATTGATACTTCTCTGTCTGGATTTCTGACTCATAGACAAGCAGCTGGGAAGGACAGTGGCCCATACCAGGAAGTCACCTAAGGTGCTAAATAGGGAGGAGAGGATTTGGTTCCCTCAGGAAAATCCAGTGGTGAATGTTCTTTCCATGAAATATAGGATCAGAGCAAGTCAGATGTGGAAAGAACCTTCGAACAATTTCAGAGCTAGAAGGAGCTTTGGAAGATCTAGTCTATCCCTTTTATTTAACGTAAGAGAGAAACTGAAACACAGAGACTGCAAGCCACTTGCCCACTATCAGGCAGGTCATAATAGCTAGAACTCAAACCCAGGTCATTTGACTCAACTTCATACTTTTTTACAGAGTACAAATACCTGCAGAACTAGGACAGGAAAATTGAACCGAGTAATGACCATTATCATTTCGAGCCTGAGCAAGTGGATGGACCAGGTCACATCCAACACAGTAAATAGCTTACCTAAGGACTGAGGCTGGTATAACAAGGAAGAGAAATGAATTCTCTTAATGAGCTGAGCCCCTGGGTCTGGACTGTGATAATCCACCTATGAAAATGCTGAGTCCCAGATCCTGGAAAGCCCGAGTTGTCAATTGCTGATTATCACACAGCAAAAATCCAGTTATAACTGATCAACCGTGCTCAGTGGATGGAAAAGGCCAAACAGTAGTAGTAATTAATCAATTAATTGATGATTCTTCCCTGCAAACATAGGATCTTTGTAGCCCAGGAAGCTGTCTCAGAGATCAGGCACCTTCCTGGGCTGTTTTTCAGTCTCAATTTCAATCTCCCACTACAATTAACACTCAACACTTCCCTTCCCTTCCGGCATTACTACCCAGGCTTTGGCCCTGATGCTACATCCAACTTCACCCCTTGCTTTTATACTTCTGGCCTAGGACTGAGGAGGTCCAGTTGAGATATGCTAAGAAAACGCCTTGACATCCTTACTCCATCCAACCCTATAGAAATAAAAAACCCATTTCTACTTAATTTTGAGCTGGGGGGGATGAAAAATTCTCCTCTGAGAGTACTCAAGATGAAGAAAAGTCCATGATCTTACTACCTGGATCTAGTGTCCTACAATCATTCTGTAAGGAGATGATATTATTAGGACACAATTCTTATGGTCACCACTGCCCTCACCATGTGGCAGTGGTCACTCCATTAAAATCAAATCACACATCCCACACATAACTGACTTCCACAAGGGTGGTGGGTTTTCATAGGAAGGGGAGAAGATAAACTAGACAAGCCAGGAGAAGGTGAAGGGAACAGAGGGTGAGGGAGAAAAAGGGTAGTCTGGAGAAAGGAAGCCTCCAGGCCTGAAGCTTTTTCTACCTCCCATAATACAGGCAGTAGTGACATTGATCAGCTTCATACTGGGAAGTTGGATGAAGACCCAACCAGTCAAGGCAAGAGAAGGGCCACACCTAGTGAAAGATGGTTAGTATTGATGGCAAAATCCCCAACTTACTCAGGAAAGACCTGGGGCTTACCAGCTTTAGCTCCTCTGGTGCTAGGTCAAGTGAATATCATCCTTAGAGACTTTCCACAGGTGGGATATGGTTTGTATCAGCCAGGAAGAAAGCCCTAGCAGAAGCTCCTACTGCGGGCACTTGTGAGGTTTTGGGCCCAGGACAGGACTGGGATGGAGCTACAGGATACCCTGGGGACTCTAATGCTCCTAATCAACGAACTCCAGTGGCTCTCGATTGTCTCCAGGATCAAATGCAAAATCCTCTGCTTGGTACTCAAAGCCCTTCATGACCCAGCCCCCTCCTGCCTTTCTAGCTTTCTCACGCTTTATTCCCCACCACGCACTCTTCCATCCAGTGACGCTGGCTTCCTGGCTGTTCCAGAAAGAGATATGGCATCTCTTCAGTCTGGGCATTTTCTCTGGCTATCTGCCATCCTTGAAACACTCCCCTTATCTCCACCTACTGGCTTCCCTGAAGCCCCACTTAAAATCCAGTTTTCTACAGGAAGCCTTTCCCAACTCCTTTGAGAGCTTTCCCTAATTTCCTGAGTATCCTGTTGTTTGTGCTGGTTTGCTTGTCTTCATCACATTGCAAAGCCGCGGGCCTTTGGATCCCCAGGGCTTAGTACAGTGACTGGCACATGGGAAACACTTAGTTTTAGAGTTTTGGTTTTTGTTTTTTGTTTTTTTCACTTGTAGCAGGGTAGAGATGGTTGGACATTTCCCCAAAGTATTTGGCAAGGTGGCGATGGTTGCATTCTTCCTCAAGGTGTCTGATTGGGGAAGCCCTGACTTGTTTTCCTGGGCTCTATTGTGATCAGCCTATGTCCCAGGATTCTTTCTCAGGTCCAGGCCCCTCCAGAGACTGGAAAGGGACAGTAGTGGAGGAGGCCCAGTTCCACCACCAATACAGAGTTGAAGTACTATGTAGTACTATGAAGTACTATATGGGCTCCCTGAGGCGCTCTTCCCTTTCTTAGGACCTGGAGGGTCTTCTCCTGCTTAAGAAAATTGTCTTTGTACCAGGTGTGGAAAGGATTATATCTTGAGAACAACTACAGCAGCAGCAATGGAGTGTAAAAAGGTAGACAAAAACCCTAGACTGGGAGAGATGGTCAGGGGTGAGACAGATTGATCAGGGGTTCCATGAAACCTGGGGCCAGTGGAAGCAATGAACTTCCCCTAGCTCTTTCTTGGGAAAAGGGTCAGATTTTGTCATTCAGTCTAGGGCCTTAAGTCCCAGCTCCTTTTCTCAAAGGTGGAATGGCAGTTCTCCTGATTTCTTCCAGAGACCCTTCCTCTACACTCAGATGCATGAGACTCTGGGTAAGTCACAAGGGCTGAGGCCCTGTGTCAAATGAAGAGGTGGGGACCTTAACTCCTCCCAGCTGCTGTGAAACATAATTTCTTCCTTTTGGTTTCTCGTTATAAAAATGAGTTAGGGCCTAGGACTGTTAACTAAAACACCTTGCTCCTAGATATAACTTGTGAATGATCACGTTAGACCAACTTATGTTTTAGGGCTGATGTCTCCAGGACATATCTGTTAATGTTTGGTCCTCGTGACTGAGGCCATTTCCTCAGAATTCAGACCTGGCACTGGGGCTTTGAACTAAGAGCACTAACTTCTGCCTCTCTAGCCCTTCTAGACCTTTGGAAGCAGCAAGGTTAGCTTTTAGCTTGGGGACAAATAAGTTCTTGTTTTGAGCCATATTGTACCAATAAAATGTCAAGTCTAAAGTTCCTCATTGGCACTAGCAGTGGAGAGCACCCAGATGTGGCTGGTCCTGAGAAGAGAGTGGAACACTGTTACATTTTTGTCCAGGGTGAAGGAGGAGACAGAGGCGGGAGGAACTCGGGAAATCTCATTCCCTTTATTCTCTTCAGCTACTCCACACAACCACCAGCAACACAACACTGTTTCTGACACACAACACTCAAAGGAGGGGACCCCTCCCAGCCCACTGGTCTGGAAAATGAGGAGCCATAGGGCAGTGAGGAAAAGCTAGGTCACCCTGACCTGGGTTATGGGGTCTGGTGTCTGCTCACCATACCTCAAAGGTTAATGGATTTTGTACCTCACTGCTCTGACGGTTTCAGGTCTCCATCATTCAACATCCCCAGTGCTATCAAGTTCCCACATAGCTCTGAAATCTTCCATTTGTCTCCTTTAAGACCCTCTAACCCCACTCCTTCCAAGTCAGTTTCCAGCGTCCCCTTACACTGACGTCTCCTGCTTGCTGAATCACCTTGGCTCCCTCCTCACCCTGGCCTCTGCTGGTAACACTTTATTTTACTAGGGGTCAAACAGTACAGTACTAGAACAAGGGGGGATGACAAGGAGCTAGCAAAATGGATCAGGTAAGGATCATCTTCCCTGAAGCTCACTTATTTGCCCCACCTTTAAATGTAGTTAGCTCTGGGATGGAAAACAAAACGTATAACAAGTTGTTCCTGATTTTAGGGTGGGGCAAAGCCAACAGGGAGATGACGCTGACATGGTGTGACTGCCCATTCAAGCCATGGAGATGCTTGGGGCAGCAGGGAGCACACAAAGCTGAATAGAACAGTGAAAGTCATCAGCCCTGGGATTGGAGATCCATGTATAGGACTGAGTACGTTTAGGGGAGAGAAAAGGAATTGAAAGGATTGGATCCAAAAGGCTCGCTGACCTCTTCCCCCCTTTCTGCCTTGAAAACTCCAAATCCCAACCAGATCAGGCTCCCACCCTAAACTCCGTATTAGAGAGAAGACCCCAATCCCTCCCCCCCAACCCTATAACATGCGATCATCCTAATATTCTACACCCTATCTCCTCTACACAGCCTACAGTACAGCCCTCATAGGGCTGGTTTCTGAGAACTACCCTCAGCTACTGCTCTCCCCTACAGGACTTTCCCCTGGACTTTATAGGGTTTCCCCTACTATAGCTCCTTAGGGCTTACCATTCCTGTTTACTAAGGGGGTGGGGATATTCTTTTGCCTAGCTTTATAAAGGTTTTATCTCTACAATTTATAGGGTATTTTTGCTTCTACTGGTTTAAAGTATTTTTTTTATTCCTTCTAGACTTGAGCACTTCTTTCCTTCAGCTTTGTAAAATTTATCCCCCCATGCAGGTGCAAAGGGGGGGGGTCTTTTCTCATACTTTGCTTATAATTTAAAGGTATACATTTTTTTGTGGGCAAGGGATGTAAATCTATAACAGCTTACCCTTACAATTATTCCTACAGGGTACCCCATCCTATTGCAACATTATAGGGCTCTCCCACCCCAGTCTATCTGGGCTGATCATTGTGGTTTTAAATGTAGAAGTGGGATCTTTTCCATATAATTTAGTGCTCCCACAGCCAATTCCAGACTCTCAGGGTTTTGTAACATCATGTGGGGCAGTGTTTTGGGGAAATAATTTTTTGTCTATGTCCCCAAAAGGAGCCTTCTCCCCCAGAGCTTAATAGGAGTTTCCTTAATAGCTTTGTAGCTTCCTTTGGGGAAATAATTCCTAGGACTTTTTCTAAAGTTTTATACAGCAGGGATCCTTAGTTTTATGGCTAAGACTTTAAGGATAGAATTCTCTTGTGCCATTTAACAAAGTCCTTTCTCCTCAATGTTTACTTAAAGGGGGAATCTTCCCTATATATTTCAGGGGCAGTCTCCTTTGAACTATTTAGTTAGCTCCCTTACAGTCATATAACCCTTAACCACCTCCCCCATTACAGGGTCATTTACCGTAGGCTTACATGATTTGTATTCTCTTAGAAACTGGAAGGGGGTCCCTCCAAGAAAGCAGTTTTATTTCTTTGGGTTTTCCCCTTCTAAGGTTTTTGGTTACACAGTACTGAGCTACCTAAAGAAGAGCAGGGCATGTAGAAGTCACCTCACTGCAGAGCCCCATAACCCCCGAAGGCACCTGGGAGCCTGGAAGTAAAGGAAAACACTAGGAAATTAAAGGCATAAGGGACAAAAAAAGTGGTTTACAGCCAACTCTTGATTACTACAGGGTGAAAAGTCTTTGCTTAGTAGACATCTGAGAAAGGCAGCAGTGGAGAATAATGAAATGCCCATTGGTCCACTCCACCCAGCTCTTATAAAGGCTAGGTGGAAAATCAGTATCAGGCTGTTACATAATCCAAATTTCATTCATCTAAGATGTGTCCTCCTCTTCCCCCCAGGTAACCAAGAGGTGGCTATAGTTTGAAGACTACGGGAGAATTTAGTCACAGGCTTCAAGTCTCTAAAGGGCTTTATTCTTTGGAGGATGATTAGCAGCTATTCTCTCCCCCCATAAGAGGGCAGAACAAGAGGAAATGGGCCATTGCTGCAGCAACTGAAATGAAGGTTAGACATCAGGAAGAACTTACTAGGAAAAGTTCAGAACCTGAGAAGGGGAGGACACGGAAGAGGAAAACTGGAATCTTTCCCTGGAGAGGAGACCTCAGAAGATCTGGACAGGCCTCCATTTGTGGAGTTTTGCCACCACTAATCTTGTGAGATTTTAGTAACACGGTAGAAACAAAGTTTCTCTTAAATATATCCTTCTGTGGCTCAAGTTTTACCAAGAAATCTTATTTGAAAACACTTATTTCTACAGTCTCCTGAGATTTGTAGAAACCTTCCAATATTTTTATGCTGAATTTTTGAACTCTTCCCCCCAAAAGCTTCATAGTTGGAAGGAGGTTCCCCATCCATCCTACTCAAGTATTTTACCTTCACAATTTTAGGGGTTTTTTCCTACAAAGGCCTTAACTTTTTCCCTTTTAATTTTATAGGATCCCCATATCCCTCTTCTTTTCCTCCAACCCCCACAAAATAGGACTTTTCTCCTATTTTTATAGGATCCTCCCATCACAATTTATAGGACTTTTGTCTTACCATTTCAAAGATTTTCACTTGTAGATGTCTTGGGATATTCCCTGCTTAATGGTTTATCTAAGCTTTCCCCACAGCAGATTAACAAGGGCACATTTTCTTTCTTCAGAATGATTCCCATTCTCTTTCCATTATAATTTAGTGCAATTCCCTGACCTCTGATCCTGCCCCTTCCCCCAAGAATTTAACCGGGATTTCCCCCAAAGGAATCATCCAGGATAGGTTCTAAGAGATGATTCCTCTGATAACTTTTCAGGAAAGACAGGGAGGCTATTCTACAATTGTAGAGAAGTTGTTTCCCTGCACCTTTTTTAGGGGCTTCCTAACTTAAGAGCTTTATAGTATTTTCCCTCCTTTTCTAAACCCTATAGTTTCGCAAGGATTTTCATACAGTTTTATAGGGAGGTCTAGAGACATATTGAGCTTTCTTCCTACAATTGTATAGGGCTTTTTCCGACTAAAATTTATAGGGTTTTTCTGCTACAGACTTATAGGGTTTTCTTCCTACATATTTATAGAGGTTCTACCCCCAACAGTTTTTTTTTCTCTACAGCCTTATAAAGGGTCCCCCCCGCAAACTTTGCATGGTTTTCCCATCACTGATGCGTAGAAATGATTTTCTCTTGTGTCCTTCCTTTCCTCACAATCTTATTAGGTTTCTTCTCCTTCCCCCTATAATTTAATAGGGCAGTAAGGTGTTTCCTCTCATGACAGAGAGCATCCCCATGCCTCCTACTTCAGTTTCATAGGGTGACACCAGGATGGCTGCCCCGGTGAAGGAGAAGGGTTGTGGTTTCTGTGAAGCCTTCTCCACACTCAGGACATATATAGGGTTTCTCTCCTGGTTGGGTTTTGGGGACTTCACACTGATTGCTGCTTTCTGTCATGGGGGATGCTTCCCCGTCCTGGCTCGTTGGCAGTGTGGCTGGTTCTGGGAGGTTCTCCCCGGGTGTGGGAGGCTTTTCCTGGGTGTGGCTCCCTTGGTGCCGGATGAGGGCCAGGCGGTCCAGGAAAGATACGCCACAGACAGAGCAGCTGTAGGGTCGGGCCCCCAGAGGGCTCTTGAGGTGCTCTAGGAGAACAGAGGAGCTTTTATAGGGCTTTTCTCCTGCATGAACCTTTTGGTGCTGCAGGAGCTCAGAGCTGAGGCTGAAGCTTTTTTGGCACTCAGGGCATTTGAAGGGTTTCCCACTCAAAATGGGGCTGGGTCCTGCCCCTTCCCCAACACCAGTCCTATACTCAGGAAATATATAGGGTTTTTCATTTCCATGGGTGAGCTGATGCTGATGGAGCACAGAACGGTCCAAGAAGCTTTCCCCACAGTGAGAACAGATGTAGGATTTTGGGGAGAGCAGTTCCAAACTCTGACTGAAGCTTTCTCGACCCTCAAGGTTTTTAGGGGTTGGTCCAATATGGTCCAAGCTGTCACCCTTCTCAGCACCTGGATAGGATTTCCTCCCAAGGAAGGTCCTCTGGGGGCGGAGCTGAGAGGGGTGGGGAGATGGACGTTCAGTGCCATCAGTGGTTTTGTATGGGTTTTCTCCAATATGTATTCTCTGATGCTGCATAAAAATAGCCTCATCATTAAAGCCCTTACCACACACCAAACACTTGTGTGGTTTGGCTCCAGGTGGTGGGAGCAGAGCTGATTCCCCAAGGCCCACTGAGAATTTATAGGGTTTCTCTCCTGCTGGGCTGGCTGGCTCTGCCCCATCCCCAAGAGCTCCCCCAGAAGGGGGCTTTCCACCTCCATGTATTATTCGATGTTGCAGCAGCTCAGCTGCATCCACAAATGCCTTTCCACACTCAGGGCACAAGAAGAGGTTCTCATCCATGTGGGTACGGACATGGGTGATGAGGTTGGAGCTCTGGCTGAAACTCTTTCCACACTCAGGACATTTGTAGGGTTTCTCCCCAGTGTGGGTCCGCCGGTGCTGAATGAGGTGGGAACTTCGGATGAAGCTCTTGCCACAGTCAGGGCACTTGTAGGGCTTCTCACCTGTGTGGATACGCTGATGTCGGATGAGTGTGGAGCTCATTATGAAGCTTTTACCACAGTCAGCACAGATGTATGGCCGCTCCCCTCGATGGATGCGCTGGTGGTTAATGAGGTTGGAGCTAACACTAAAGCTCTTGCCACACTCAGGGCATTTATACGGTCGCTCACCTGTGTGAGTTCGCTGATGCCGCAACAGTGTAGCGCTAAGAGTAAAGGTCTTTCCACACACTGGACACTTAAAGGGGTCCTCCCGAAGGTGAGTACGCTGGTGCTTAATGAGGGTGGAACTGTGCCCAAAGCTTTTACCACATTCTAGGCACTCATAGGGCTTCTCACCAGTGTGTGTGCGCTGGTGTTGTGTCAACTCTGAGCTTTGGATAAAGCTCTTGCCGCACTCAGTGCACCGATATGGCTTCTCACCTGCATGTATCTTCTGGTGCTTGAGAAGGTTGTGGTTCTGGCCAAAGCGCTTGCCACACTCTGTGCACTTGTAGGGCTTCTCACCCGTGTGGGTCGCCTGGTGTTGGATGAGGTCGGAGCTGCGGTAGAAGGCACGTCGGCACTCGCCACACTTGTAGGGCTTCTCGCCTGTATGAGAGCGCTGGTGCTTGATGAGGTTGGTGCTCTGGGTGAAGGCCTTCTCACACTCAGTGCACTTGTAGGGCTTCTCGCCTGTGTGTGTCCGCTGGTGCTGCACCAGGTTGGAGCTCCAGCTGAAGCACTTACCACAGTCAGGGCACTTGTAGGGCTTCTCACCTGTGTGGGTGCGCTGGTGCTGCACCAAATGGGAACTCTGGGTGAAACTCTTGCCACACTCAGAGCAGGTGTTGGGGCGTTCACCTGTGTGGATACGCTGGTGCCGCAGCAGCTTAGACCACTGGCTGAAGCTCTTACCACACTCATTGCAGATATAGGGTTTGTCACCCCCTGAGGGCCGGCCCTGGACCAACTCACGAAGGCTGGGCTCACTGGCTGTCACTATTGGGGGGCTATTCCAGGTAGTCAGGGCCCCCCATTGCCAGCCTGTCTCACAGGCCTTGGTCCAATCTGAGGGTGCAGGAACTGACTCAGAGGCTGGATTATCCAAAGGAATCTCCTCCAGGGGCATCTCTGGGGGATTCTTGAGTTCTGGACTATGGGGTGGGTCTCCCAAAGGCATCTCATCCCCTGATCCCTCTGGCTGGAGATTCTCCTCTTCATTTTCACTTCTAGCACCTACGGGAGAAAGGGAAAATCCAGACTCCAGTCCCTCTCAGAATCCAGGGTCCAGACCCAATATATCCCTTTGGTTTTCCCCTAGACCTGTTCCCCTCCCAGAACCCTGACAATCTATTTCCCAGTCTGTCTCTTGTCTTAGGACCACAATTCTCTTCTTATTCCCCTCACCTTTATGACCATCTCTCAGGCTCTCCTCGGGGCCCTGGAGATCTGGGCCCCATAACTCTGCCCCTTGCTCCATCCTAGAGATCAGGGCCGATGTGGGGTTCAAGGGACCCTAGGGAAGGAAAGAGATGAGAATGTGACAGGGCTGGGATTCGATTTTGCACACTGAAGACAATTGAAGGACTTAATTGTGGTGTGAAAGTTAGGTTCTCTGGTCATATTCATTCTCTCTGAGGCTGTTTTCCCTTCCTCAGGTCTCAATACCCTTCCTCCCCGTTTCTTCAGTTCTCATTCTCCCCTCTCTTCTCTGGGATAGTTTCTTGATCTAGGTTTTGGTTTTTCAACAAACCAGTAAGGTAAATTAAGAAGCCCAATTGAAAGCTCATTAGGCATAAATACTTTGAACTCTGTTTTGGGCTTAGAAGGCATTAGACCTCCCACAGTGGGGGGGGGGGGGATATGAGGTTCTCACCCCACACCACAGATGCCTAGGGGCTGGGAAACCAGGCAAGGTAAACCTGTTATTTCACCAATCAAGTAAGCTCATTAAGGCTCTAATTTTTCTTCCTTAATAGAGCTGCTAATTAAGGCCAATAAATGCTACCTTTATGAGGCTTGGAAACAGCTGGGGTTGTCTTTGACATTTAAAGGGTTAAAAAAAAGATCACTTGCCTTGGGGAGAACAAGTTTTCCAACGGTACGGGAGTACTTTCCCCTTCCCCGTTATTCAAGAATTGGGACAACCTCAGGAAGAGACTCGGGTTTGGCTTGCTGGTCTCAAGCAGAGCAGGAAATGTTGAAGTAGGAAGGTACAATTATACCACACAGAAGTAGATGTATGAGGTTATTAAGCACAGCCAAAGGAAGGCAAAAAAAAAAAAAAGAAGAGAACTCCCATGGTAGCTCCTGGACCACTTTCCATGGACTGAATAAAATGTACTTTTGAGCTAGGAAAAGAATAGACCTTCCTGGCAGCAAGGGAAAGGACAGCAAGACCTAAAGAAGTGTTTCACAACTAGTAAAATTTCAATTATTTTCTGATCCAATATAGGATTAAATTATATACGAAGAGCCAGAACTAAGATAAAAATTAAGTAACATCCACCTAAATCTTTTCACAGCCTCATATCCCTTCTTAAATTTTTTTTATAGGTCAAGAAAGTATGATGCTAGCTCTTCAAATGATACTTAGGGAGCAAACACACCCAGCTCTTTCTTTAAGACTTTCCAAAATATGTCTGATTCAATGACTTTGAATAAGAGATTTTACATGAGGATAGCAGAAAAAGATCAAGGGGGTCAGAGTGGCCCCAAAGACAGACATGGCCAACTGTCACTCAAAACAAATGATGATGACTGCATATAAGAATGGGAAAACAGAGTATAAAAACGGTGAGGGTAGGTTTTGGCGAGAAGAGGGAGGAGAATGCTAGGCACAGGCAGTAGTATGTTGGAGCCCATTCCTATCAGCTATGCCTATTATTACATTTTCCGTGTGGGCATTTGTACCTCAGAAATTCACCTGAGCTTCAAATCCAGGTTTGATTTATTGTTTTGTTGTCCAGACTTAAGAAAGTGATGGAGAAAATGTTAATAATGCAAATTAAACTTTAAAGCATATCATGCATAAGTTTTTTGTTGTTGTTTTCAGAGAGCCAGCTGTTAAATATTTACCAGCATAATCCTGGATATAGGATATGTATAAGTGTTCTTGTGCTTGCATAGGAAGGGGAAGGAAATCTTGGAGAGGGTCCAAAGAAGAGGAATGGTAATGAAGAAAGAGCTGAGAGATTAAAGAGGAAGGAAAGAGAACTATGTTGACTACATATTTTTTTTTCTCTTCTCTACAAAGGGCAGACCCCAAGGGAAATATTACAAAGGACAGTAAGTAGGAGGCAGAAAAGTTAGGCTTTAAGAAGCAATTTTTTTATCCCTCAAGATTTTTTTCTTAGATTAAGAAAAGCTTCCAACTGATGGATGTTTGGGAAAGGGTAATCCTGAAGACAGGAGAAGAGACAGAACAACTCTCCCCAACTCTTGCACTCTACAAACCTGGGGGAGAAGATTTTCTAATTGCCTTGCTGCATATAAGTATTTCTGGGGAGAAGTGGGAAGGGTTCAATCTGTATACAAAGGATGGACTGGCAGGAGATAGGTATATATGTATGTATGTATGTATACACACATACATGAGTTGGAATTATCAGACTCAGTGATCCAGAGTGGAAAAGAAAGGGTTAGTGGAAAGCGGCAATGAGCCTAAATAATAAGTCAGGGTGACTCAGGGCGATCACCAGGTCCACCTGAGGAAGAAAATGATTTAAAAAACAAAAAAGGAGCAGGAGGATGACCAGAGCCCCAAAAGTTTTTCTGATTTTTCCCTTAAAAGATCCTAAAGGACCTAGTTGATTTCCTCTATATTTGTAAGGAAGCCCCAAAATGAAGGTGAGGGGAAACAAACACAAAAAGGAGAAGGAATCATCCTCAGGGTCACCCTGAAAAAGGGACAGAGAGAGGAAAATTCAGACACCCTAACCTCCAGGCCCTGACTCATCCCAATACACATGATTCTTTTACCAGAACTCAGGAGTTCTGCCCCCCAACCCAATTCTCTCCTAGCAAATCTTCCAAGCTACAACCACAACTCCTGACGCCACCCAGAATCCTTGCTCCCTTCTCAGAACCCAGGTGTCCTTTCAGAATTGAAGCACTAAAGGGTTCCTGCCCTGTAACCCCTAGTCCCTCTTTAGGTTTAATTCCATTTTCCCAGAATGCTCAAGCCTCTAGTCCTCCCCAACAACCTAGACCCCCTCTCTCTACCCAGAATCCTCTAGCACTCTCCCTCTCTCCCTCCACCCTAACAGCCCCCGCCCCCCACCCAGGGGAACAGGATGAGGAGAGGAAACAGCTTCCAGAACCCAGGTGTCCAGCTTCCCAGTCCTCCTAGGTTCTTTGTCTTTCTCCCTTAGGCCACTCAGGCCACTCTCGACCGCCCCCACTTCCCATGAACCCAGGTGTCCCCGACTCACGGCTCTGGGGGCTGGGAAAAGCTGAAAGGCAGGATACAGCCCCAGGGGACTTAACCCCTTAAGTATCCTGCCTTAGGGTTTTGGCTAGATGCTGAGGACTCTGGGGTCCTTCTCAGGGGGCGATCCCAGTCTGAGGACCCGGGACCAGTTCAGGGTGACTGGGACGGAGCAGGAAGTGACCCCAGCTTCCCGGGCCCCTCTAGCCTGGAGTCAGAGCGCCAGCTCTATGGGATTTAACCCTTCACTGCCCACAGCACCAGAAAAAAGGGGAACAGTGGAAGTCAAGGGGGCTAGGAATTGGTACTCTTACACTGTAAGAAAAGAGTGAGGTCAGGAGGCAGGAGCTTGAGGACTTTAGAGGCGGGAGACAGAGCTTAAGGGGAAACTCAAACACTTGAAAATATTTCCAAATTCAATTCTTCTCATTTCTAAGTAGGGCATGGCAACATTTCCCAGAAAACTGGTTATCTGATCCATCTGTGCTGCTTTTCCCAGAGATGTTTCAGCAGTACCCTATCCTTGTTCTGAGTCCAAACATGGAGAAGGATATGGACTGACTGAGCATAGGAGCTAAGAGTAGAGGACAGAAACTCTTATATTATCAGAAGGGAGCATGGGGCTTGAGAGTTGATCTAGGGACCAGGAAACAGAAAGGCACAGGACAGTGTAGGAGGATATCCTAAATATTAAATTGTTGTTCAAATTAAATGCATGAGAAACATGAAAAGGAAATCTGATAACATAAATAAATAAATGAGCACCTGATGAGGGTTTGGGTCCCAGCTCCCCCAGTAAAGAGCTCTAAGACATGAAGGAGGTTATTTTCCCTCTCTGCTTTACAGAGGGCCATTTGTAAAATTAAAGTCCTTCTGCCTTTCTAATTCTTGTCTCAAAACATTTTTATGCATCATGTTTTGCCTATACCCCAGACTCTCACATCTTAAAAGAAGTCATACTCCTAAAAGAATAGGCCCTCAATAATACTCTTAGCTGTGTATCTTCTGGTTATTTAGGTGGCTGAGGCAGCAACACACAATAAAAGTTTTTCTTTTTAAAATGTTTTATTGATATCTTTTCTTTCCAGATCACCTTCATTTCCAAATACATTTCTCCCCACTCTTACCGAGAGGGCCATATGGATTTCCTTTCTAAAGGGCAGTAGGATACTCAGGAATCCCAATTACCATTTAACTAGTTATATGGATAAAAATAGTCTTTGTTTTTGTATATCTCCACTCACCCCAATGATAACTCCCCTTCCCTTCTATGTTTTCTTACAATCCCTGTTCGCTGAAGCCTAGCATAGGAAACAGAGCACTGATTTAGGGTCAGAAAACCTGAGTTCATGTGCCTTTGACACTTAGGACCTATAAGACCCTGGACACATCATTTACCCACCTGATTTTCAGTTTCCTCAGCAAAATATAATATATCATAGTATAATAAAATATAACATGCCACCTACTTCAAAAGGATATTGTGAAGACTAAATGAGATAACAGACATAAAAATTTAGTAACCAAAAAGCACTAAATAATTATCAACTATTTTTTATATGGCCTCCATCTCTCCCAAGGGCATCTCTTTTCCTCCTGCTTACATAAAGATTCTTGGTAAATTCTTGGTTGGGTGGCCCAATAGTCAGATTTAATAGAGTAACTATTATAATCCTCCTTCACTGTGGGCAGGATGCGAGTGATCCCTAAGAGATATTCCCTATCTCCTACTACCACTGCCACTGTCTAGACATACATCTTAATTGCCCAAATGTAATGTGCTAAAGAGAGGCTATGTATACCACATCTAGGAAATGGTAATCACTTGGGTTTAATTATCAAGAAGATGGCACTTGAGCTGTCTCTTAAAAGAAGAGAGGGATTCTATAAGATGGAGGGGAGAAGGAAGCATGTTACAGGTATTGGGGACAGCCAGTGCAAAGGCATGGAGACAAAAAGATAGAATGCTGTGAGTGAGGAATAAAGAGAAGGTTGGGAGAAGGAAGAATATCCAAGAAAGCTGAAAAGATATGCTGGGACCAAGTTGTGAAAGAAAGGCTTTAAAAACTAAGCAGAAGAGCTTAAACTAGATCCTACAGACAACTGGGAGTCACTGGAGTTTACTGAATGGGAAAGTAAAATGGTCAGCTCTGTGCTTAAAGGAAAATCATTTTGGTGGCAGTATGGAGGATAAGAGAGAGAACTGAGGCAGGGAGAATAATTAGGGGTTACTGAAATCACCTAGATGAGAGGTGACAAGGGCCTTAATCTGTGCAACACTGTCTTCAACTAGATCCTGGTGGTGTGACATTATCCAGGAAGAAATTACGTTTTAAGGTGAAGGTCCATAGATCCTTGCCCCATCTGAGACCAGAGGGCCCCCTGAGAAATGGGACCTCTTTGGCCTTTTAATTCCTTTTTTTTTTTTCTGTTCTAGGTACAAGCCTCCAACTTGGTCGTCAGAGGGAGCCACAGGAGTCTGGGAATCAGAATCCAGGCTGGATGCTGCCACCTAGCATTGGAGAGTGATTTTTGAGACCCTAGCCCATCAGAAGGACTCATCTAGCAGTGATGCTGCTACCTTTGGACTTGAACTTGGTGGGACTAATACTTAGCGCATAAGAAATGAACTAAGTTATAAATCTAATTCCCTCCCAAAGACCAAAGTACTATAGTTTATGCCTCCAAAGCTGGGAGTATATGTTTGCATTTTTGATCTTGTTATACCTGTGAAGTAAATATTCCTTTGTAAAAGCTACTTGTGTTAAGTGGTTAAAATTAACTAACATGCTAGTCAAGGGGAAATGACACCCCTCACCCTTTCATAATGGAGGAAAACACAGCCAGTGGAAGTTCCTGCCAATGCAGTGGAAAAGAACAAACTCCTCAGGTGCCCTAGAACTGTGAGGGGGTGACTGATGTAACAGGCCTGGCCTTTAGAGAGTGAGGCCAGAGTAAAGACATTTCACATGTTTGAAGGAAATAGGGAAGAAACCAATAGATGGGAAGATGTCAAAGACTAGAAGGGGCAAAGAGACAACTGAGGTTGCAATGTATTGGAGAAGATGGGAAAGGATAGTATGAAGAGCACATGTAGGGCGAGGACATCACCTTTCTCAGTAAACTAGATCACCTTTCCTAAGGATCTCATTTTTGTCAAATGTATCACCATTCACTCATTCAAAACTTATGTGAACATCTCTTATAGGCAAAGCCCTATGATAGTTGTGATTGTTGCAGACCCCCAGGGTAGAAGCCTAGAGAGTCATCTTTTTTCTTCTTCATCCACTGGCTCTGCTTTTTTTTTTTTAAGGCAACTGAGGTTAAGTGACTTGCCCAGGGTCACACAGCTAGTTAAGTGTCAAGTGTTTGGTCTGAGGCCCGATTTGAACTTAGGTCCTCCTGACTTCAGGGCTGGTGCTCTATCCAGTGCACCACCTACCTGCCCCTATTGGCTCTCTTTTCTACCACGCACAATCACTAAGTAATTTCTTCCTCTGAAATATCTCTTAGATTCACCTACTCCCTATTCTCAGTCCTGCTATCCAAATCTAAGGATTAACCAACTCACACCTGGATTACTACA